TCTCTCTCTCTCTCTCTCTCTCTATATATATATATATATATATATATATATATCATACGGGATATTAATGGATATGGACAGGAAAAAAAGTGTTATGAAAAGTAACAAAAGTGGGTGGTCGGTCGGAGCCAACCAGGTTGGAGTTGGACCAAAGGGTCCAAGAGGCTCCCATTTCCCATGAAAACTGATGGTTGAATGAGTATTGGGCCGTAGTGTCCCAGCCCCAGGTCCATTGAGTATTGACTAGTGACTAATGACTTCGGTGGACTTGACTCCAATCTAATATCATCTACTTTTAGAAATTTTAAAAATTTGAATAAGAGTTTGCTAACTTTTATTTGAAATAGAGTAAAAAGGATAAAGAATATAAAAACGTTTAAATTTTGAAAAAAAATCTATTGAAATTTTTTTATATTTATATTTTTTAAATATATATAAAAATGGACCATATATTCCTTTCGCAATATCTCCAGCAGTTTTTACCACTGCTACCGCTGTTGTCATACCAGAAATGTTGATGATCCCAGTTTCAAGTCTTTAATAGCAATTCAATCAAGAATCAACATATTGATCATTACCTTAAATACACGATCATTTTTCATGTTTCTTGGAATGAATCACAATAATTAATGCTACTTTTTGTCATGTATAACGTCCATGTTATATTTCATACAATGCTCAACATACCCAACATCGTTGACTCTAAAATCTGATTAACCTTAGAACTAACGTTGTGTTCTAGAAATCAATACGATCTATTAAAGCCCAATACGATTCATTGAAGCCCAATACAATCCACTAAAGCCCAATACAGTCCATTAAAGCCCACTACGATCCGTTAAATCCTCATACGATCTGTTAAATCCCAATAGAACCGTTAAAGCCCAATAGAACCGTTAAAGCCCAACTAACACCCACTGAAGCCTGATATGATCTATTAAAGCCCAATACGATCCATTGAAGCCCATTACGATCCATTGAAGCGCAATACGATCCATTAAATCTCAATACGATCTATTAAATCCCATTATGATCCATTTGTGATTCCCAAAATCATACAAACATGATTAAGATCTTCAAGAAATAAGATGAAGAGAGAGTAGATCACCAAAAGTCTCTTGATTGATTGAGAGAAAAATTACAAGGCTAATTTCATATTACAATTGCTAATGACTTGCTTTATGACAATTACAAAGGAAATTACTATTTATACTAAAGAAGGAAAAAAACTACACTATTACAAAACATGTAAAATATGGAGAACTTGAATACAACAATAACGCGCATACTCGAACCCAACACCATTAAAGCCCAATAGAACCATTAAAGCCCAACTAACATCCATTAAAGCAAATACGATCCATTAAAACCCAATACGATCCAGTGAAGCCCAATACAATCCATTAAAGTCCAATATGATCCATTAAATCTCAATACGATCCGTTAAAGTCCAATAGAACTGTTAAAGCCTAATAGAACCGGTAAAGTCCAACTAACATCCACTAAAGCCAAATACGATCGCCCAATACGATCCATTAAAACTCAATACGATCCATTGAAGCCTAATACAATCCATTAAAGCCCAATATGATTCATTAAATCCCAATACGATCCGTTAAAGTACAATAGAACTGTTAAAGCCTAATAGAATCGGTAAAGTCCAACTAACATCCACTAAAGCCAAATACGATCACCCAATACGATCCATTAAAGCTCAATACGATCCATTAAAACTCAATACGATCCATTAAATCCCAACACGATCCATTAAATCCCAATACCATCCATTAAAGCCCAATACGATCCATTAAAGTCCAATAAAACTGTTAAAGCCCAAATAACATTCACTAAAACCCAATACAATCCATTAAAGCCCAATAGAATCGTTAAATCCCAACTAACATCCATTAAAGCCCAATACGGTCCATTAAAGGCCAATACGATCCATTAAAGCCTAGTAAGATCCATTAAAGCCCAATATGATCCATTAAAACTCAATACGATCCATTAAAACCAATACGATCCAATAAGAATATATGTAATATTTTACATATATATAAAACCAAAAGTTTGAAAAAAAAAAATCAAAAATCTGCCGAAAAATTTACGTCGGTGAATCGCCAGAAATCCGTCGGAAAGTATTAAGTTTTTTTAAAAGAATCTTGAATAATTTATCATATTTTAAATTACCGGTGGATTCCCGTCGCCCACCGGTATCCGCCGAAAATTTAAAATAATATTTTTTGATTATTCTCCAGCGGACGTTAATCTTAAAAAAATAATCAAAAATCCACCGGTAAATTATTGTAACTAGAGTTAATAATTTTGTAAAAAATTAATTTGTAAAATCCGCTAGAAATATTGTCAGAATGTTTTTACCGGCGGATTTCCGTCGGAAGTCAATGAAAGTTGACTTTTTTGTTGTCCACCGCTAAATTTCCGACGGATTTTTTCCGCCGGAAATACTCGGTTTTTTAATAGTGAAAACTTTTTTTAGGAGAGAAAAGAAAGAAAAGAGATCATAAATTTCCTCCCAAAACTTTTCCTCCGGATGTGGGTGAAAAGGAAAGAAAAGGAAAGGAAAGAAAATGAATGAAATTAAAACACTTAAAATTACAAAACTACCAAATCTTTCATAAAAAAATATATTTTTAAAGGATATATTTATAAAAGAAAACTTTTCCTTTCTTTCTTTCCTGTTCAAATCATAATTTTTTTTTTCTTTTTCATCATTTTTCATCCTTTTCGAAAACACAAATAAAAAAAATTCCTTTCATTTCTTTTTCATTCTTTTCTCTCGGAATTTTAGAACACACCATAAAAAACTATAATTTCCCAACATCTCCAATTTCATTTTTCACTATGAAATTTTGACCATAAGATTTCATTATTCGCATCATCGTCATCACAGAGATTTTCAGGTATATTATCTTAAATAATATTTTAATTAAATCCATAACATTCTCGGTATACATCCATTTTTTCTTCAGGAGTTAATAAACTCATTTAATTTCATTGAGGTAGCGTTTGGTATGCAGACATGATTGGATAGGACATGACATGACATGACAGAACCGGACATGACAAGAGGGTAGGACTGGACAAGACTAGACGAGACTGGACAGAACAAGTATATGTCTAGTGTTTGGTACAATAAGACGGGACGGGACAAAACTAGACAAGTTACCCTTAAAAGTTATTTGATGATTTTTAAATATTATATAATAGTTATAATTAACACAAATAAAGAAAAGAATTTAATTTATAAATATTTTTACACAATTTTCATATAAATGAATACATACATATGTAATGGTACGAAGTTTGAATGAAAATTTTGATATAATTGATGGTAGTAGTGGTGGTGGAGGAGGTGGTTTCGGTTATGGTGAAAGTGGTGGTGGCCGACGGTAGTAGTGGCGATGGACGGTGGTGGTTGATGGCTGACGGTGGTTATGGAGGTAGAGGCAATGGTGGTTGGTGGACGATAATGGTTATAGAGGATGTGAAGATGGTGGATTGTGGTGGTTGACAATGGGGGAAGAGGTAGTTGTGGCTGATGTGATGAAGATAGTGGTGATGGTGGAGGTGAGGTGGCAATGGACGGTGGTGATCGATGATCGACGGTGGTTGTGGAGGTCGTGGAGGAGGTTGTTGCAGTAGAGGATGAGTTGGAGGTGGTCAACGGTGGTAGTGGTGGTGTTAATGAATGGTGGTGGTCGATGGTCGATGGTGGTTATAAAGGTGGCAATGGACAGTGTTGGTTAGTGGTCGACGATGATTGTGGAGGTCATATAGGAGGTTGTTACGGTATAAGAGGAGTTGGAGGTGGTCAATGGTGGTAGTGTTGGTGGTAATAGGTGGTTGTGGTCGGTGATCAACGGTGGTTGTGAAGGTGGCAATGGACGATGGTAGTAGGTGGTCGACGGTGGTTGTGGAAGTGGTGAAAGAGGTTGTAGTAGAGGAAGAGTTAAAGGTGGCGAATGGCGGTAGTGGTAGTGACAATGGATGGTGGTGGCCCATGGTCGACTATGATAGAGGTGACAATGGAGAATGGAGAATGGTGGACGGCGGTTGTGAAGGCGGTGGAAGATGTTGTTGTAGTGAAAGAGGAGGTGGAGGTGGCGGCAGCTGCCAAAACTAACGATGATGACCATTAAAACAAATACCATATTAAGATTATATATCAAACTAGAGTATAGTAATAATATTATAGTTTATGTTTTATTATTGTCTCATCTTGTTCCATCTATTTTTGTAGAATAAGAAAAAGCCTCATATGTCCCCACTTGTCTCAGTTCTATTCCTCTGTCCCATATCACGTCAAACGTGAATTCTTGTGTCCATCCTGTCATATCCCGTCCACCAAACGCAGCGTTAGGATCTAAGGGGGTGTTTGAGATTGTTTATTTTAGGTGCTTTATGACTTATTTAAGTCTGACACCGGTGATAAGCTAAATGCTAGTGTTTGTATGAGGAAAAATAAAACTGTTTATACCGGTGTCAAACCGGTAATAAACAGTTTTTGATAAGTTAATCCTTCATGACTTATGAAAAACTGTTTATTACCAGTTTATCATTTTAACCCTATTTTATTAATGTTTGTTAATTATTAATCTTATTGATATAAATTTTTGCTAAAGATATTATTATAAATGATGAAAAATAAATTTTTACGTGTTAAAAAATCAAATAAGTTAATAAGCCATCCCAAACACCCCCATAAGTCAATAATATGAAACATTGTCATTTTTGTTCATTTTATATATATAAACAAAATTTGCCAAATATTAAAAAACAACTTATCAGCTTATTACTTTTTGGTACCACTATAAGCTAATCCAAATACTTTTTACAAAACTCTAATTTTATAATACATAAGTTAATAAATATTTAAAAAAAATAAATAATATAAACTATTTTCAATAAACAATCCCAAAATCCCAAACATCCACTAAATTAATCCGTCAAACCCAGTTTCATTAAAAACAAGAGCGAGGGTCCAACGAGGGAAGATGATTACAACGATCATCTGCAAGCAGTAGCAAGAGTGTTTCCGGTTGGATTCAGTTCCTTAGAAGCGTTCCCATGTCTATTGAGATCAAACTCTCCCGATCGAATCGAACCTATCGCCCCGATGTAAGTTGCTAACCACCAAGTACAAGTATACCAATTTCCATTTGCGTACTGAGAAGGAAGTTTGATTTGTCTGTTAATTGATTGCAGGAGCTACTTCAGGGAAATATCATCACCAAATTGCCTTCTTCGATTTCTCACCGTGGAATTCAATTAACCATCAATGGTTCTGTCAATTTGCAGGTTTCAATTCGTTGTGGTTTGTTTTGATTTGTACATGAATAAGAAAACATAAATTATCCAGTGTTCATGGTGGACTTTTAGAATTCTTTGTTGAGAAAAACGAACAGTTTGGGGTTATTGAAGTGAAATGTCCTAATTTGATCGTGATCCAATCCATTTTGAATTCAGAAGTCATTAGCTTTGACTTCGAAAGTCAGTTTGTATCTCTATGCTATGGATGAGACGACGTATGTTGTGTTGGTTGGGACAATACTTTGCGATTGTTTGAGCGCATTCATGATATACTTAATTTGGTGCTTAGGTTCGTGGAGGATCAGCTGGACTCATTGAATCCCTTTATGGTGTCTTGAAGCCTATTCGAATAGTGTATCCCTCTCTCTCCCTTTCTGACTCATTTGTCTCAATTATTTACTAGTTTTACCCCGGCTGTATTTCATGGTAAACTAAAAAACATGGTCAAGAAAAACGTATATAAGCTTTGAAGTGGTGAACTCAGTTACCTAATAAGGTTTTGAGTACCTTATTTAATGTGTGGATGGCTTCTGTTTCAAGTTTAGGTGATTTGGGCAACATTTTGATCCTTAGCTCATCTAATCTCATTATCAAACATTCTCACTTTTCTGTGGCTTTGCATAACTATAAACATCTGGATGCACTTATTCTGTATGGTGAATCATTATTCACGGTCCTGAAGCGACCAAATGCACTGCAAGATAACCATTGTAATGCATAAAGTGCTACTCGCTGTAGAATAACTGTAATGGATTTCACTATTCCTCTTATGCCAGTTTTAATGTGTTGTGGCACCCTTTTCATGTTTAAGACTTCAAATTCCAATAGTTTCTTCATTGAAACAGGAAGAAGAGCATCGAGGTTCAACCTTCTGGGAAGATCAGTGCTGGCACAACACAGGTATATTATAATGATTGACAAAGAGCTTGTAAAGTTCAAAAGGCACAACCCTGTCATGCTTATTGTAGTTTTAGGTCTTCATCAATTTGTCATTGTATGTAGCTGCTAAATTTTATCAACATTCTCAGTTTGTTTCCCTATGTTTCTCATATTTCCTGTTTTTGTTGACAAGAGAATAAAATTGCATGTTGCAGTGTGTTCAATTCGGCAAATTATCACAATGAATAAATTATATACTCCTAAAACCAAAAGAGTAATATTGATTCTTAATTTTCAAAGACTGACTCAACGACACTTATGCTACCCCTTCTCGTGTGATTAATATCGACAGATACCATTTTCTATGATTCTTAAGAATCAAGGAGAAGAACACAAATTCTATGAAACTTTCCATGGAGCAAACATTAGCATCCAGGTATGATATCTTCAAAAGCTGTTCTCCATAGCATCCTCCATCATAATTCTTTTGTCTATATGATTTATATAACCTATTCAATGTCTACTATACTGTCATAGTATCTGCTAAATGTAGATGTTGTGAGAGGATACTTACATAAATCGTTGTCTGCTACAGTGGAATTCATAATTGAAAGTGATTTAGGTACGAAGTTGATGTTTCTCTATCCTCACTTCTTTAAATGTAATGGATTGCCTTTCTTACCTGTATTTTTGTTGACAACAGCCAGTCTCCCAGAGAAACCAGTTTCTCCTGAAATGGTCTTCTTTTACATCACTCAAGACACACAAAGGCACTCTTTGCTTACTGAACTGAAATCAGGTTTCTTCCTGATCACTAACTCTTCCGTGGTCCTGTGAAAATGGAAAATAGGAAAAAGATATGAAAAGAAATAGTGGAAGACCACTTCACACTACATCCAACTTAATGTGTGTACTTCTCTGATTGATTTTTACAGTTTGTGTTGTTCCATTTATGATATCTGTTTGGGGAATCCCTTACAAAATGTAAGAGAGAGTTGTGGTTCAGAGACCTTACTGAACATAAAAATGTCGTTATAGGATTGTTAAAGGACATACAAAATATTACCCCAGGCAATTAAATTTAATGACTATTGAGGGGTAGGTTCAAGGGGTGTAGTTCGAAGTTCCGAGTAGGTCAATATCCGGGGTTTTGCTTTCCCCTAGTCATATTTTTAACACCCTACTTTTATATTAAGTTAAATTTTTATGTTTTAAGCCTTGAATACAAGGGTTATGATTATGCAAAAGATTCCAGCAGCTGTAACTTCCTTAGATTATCATATTTATCAATTACAAGTAGCTTACAAGGCAAAGCATGAGAAATCAAACCTAAAGTGATGAATTGTAAGGGCTAGAAGTATGTGTTGGCAAGCTATTTAATGACTAAGTAAGTCTACTAAGCATGACAAAGCAAGCTAGTTATGAGTTGTCAAGGCTAGAAGCATGTGTTGGCAAAATTCATGATGACAAGCAAGAGCTAGAAGCATGTGTTGGCAAAATTCATGATGACAAGCAAGAGCCAGAAGCATAACAAATAAAGGCTAGAAGCATGACAAATAAAAGCTAAAAGCATGACGTGTCAATATTCCTTTATATTAAGCATGATGTGTCAAGATTCTCTTCCTAGAAGCATGAGGTGTCAAGATTCTCTTATCCTCAAGTAGGAGGTGTTAAACTCTCATAAGAGTACATGTTTGAGAGTAAAAAGAACACGTAGCTAATGCAATGGATTTACCTATAAATAGGGGTGAGAAGTGTTACTATTAGCTCCATACCAAAAATAAGAAATCTCTCTCTTTATACATAATCAAGGAATTAAGGAAAAGCTAGGCATAATCAAGGCGAGCACTTAATGAGATTTACTGAGATACATAGGCGCTATACAAATGTATTTTATGAATTATTAAGAAACTTGATAAGATGTTTTGTTATGTTTGCCTTACATGAAAATGTTGATGCATTTATATATTCAAGATATATATACATGGCATGTTAAGATGTGTTTTACACATAAGACATGAAAGTTTTATGCATGTTATGTATGACCATAAATATCCAACGCATGGGATATAGAATGAAGGGACGTCTAGCAAACGGACCTTTTCGGGCAGCCTTTATGGACCTGAGGGGGTTAGTGATACGAATTCAAATATAAGAACAAAAAAGTAGAAGATGGACAGAAACTATGGTTTGATTGCAATTAAAAACAGAAAATTACCAAAACAAAGATGATCACTAAACCAGGGAAACTTCCCTCTCTCAAAGCGAGGAGCTATGAGCCACAAGTAACTATTTAGAAAAATAACCGAATGCCTACAAGCTAAAGGTATTCTCCCTATTTATTAGACATATTCCCAAAGCAAGGTAAAACTAAACCTTATCCTTTCTTGGATAAACCTTATCCTTTCTTGGATAAACCTTATCCTTTCTTGGACCATCTTGCATATACCTTCAAAACTTTGGGCTTGGGTAAAACATCCAATTTAGGAGGATTCGTAACATTACTCTCTCCTTCCAATAAAGTCTTGTCCTCAAGACTTTGATCCGGAAATTGGCCCTTGATTATGCTAGCATCCTCCCATGTGGCTTCTTCTCGTACCTGCCCTTGCTAACGAATTAGCCATTGATCCACTGATTTTCCGTCTTGTTCCACTGTACGTCTCGCACAAATCTCCAGCGGCAACAGAACATCCTTGCCATCAAATTCCAACTCAGGTGGCAAGATTTGTGTCACCATAGGTGACATCACATCTTTTTTAAGTAAAGAGATATGAAATACGGGATGGATACGTGACGTCAGAGGTAATTCCACTTTGTATGCAACTGGACCGATTTTTTCAATAATCTTGAAAGGTCCAATAAATCGAGCTTCTAGCTTATGATAAATTTTTTTAGCAACTGTCATCTGACGATACGGTTTCAGCTTAACATATACCCCTTCACCAATTTGAAAAGTAATATCTCGACGCGTTTTATCTTCTTGTTCTTTCATCAACACTTGCGCATGAGCTAGTTGCATTTTGAGTTGCCTCAAGGCTTCATCTCGATCACGTAATTCCTCCCCCATAGCTTCCACTCGTACTTCCCCTGGAATAAACTGAACCACCGTCAGCGGTTTACGACCATAGAAAATTTCGAATGGTGACCGACCTGTAGAACCGTGAAATGTCAAGTTATACCAAAACTCTTCCCACGAAGTCCACAATGCCCACGAACGAGGCTGATCAATGGCTAAGCACCGTAAATACGTCTCTAAAACAACGGTTTATCACCTCTGTTTGACCATCCGATTCCTGATGATAAATGGAGCTCATGTTTAACGTCATTCCTTGCAAACGAAAGAGTTCTTGCGAAAATGACTAAGAAACAATGGATCACGATCGCTAACAATTGATTTAGGAATTCCATGATGTCTAACCACTTCCAGGACAAACTTTTGCAATGGATTTAGCGGTACAAGGATGTTTGATTAGAATAAAATGGCTGTATTTAGACAACCGATCTACCACTACCAAAAGAGCATCATACCCGTTAGACTTGGGTAAACCCACAATAAAGTCCATAGATAAATGTTCCCAAATCACATTACAAAAAAAAAAAAACTATATTAAGAAGTGTCTCATATGTTTGAAGGTTAAGATTGAACACCAATGACCTTACGGAGAGTTACAACCATTAGATATTCGTGCTTGGAAATGGGAACATATCACTATGGATTTCGTAACAAGGTTGCCAAGAACAACAAAAGGTTTTGATGCTATATGGGTCATTGTTGATCAATTGACCAAATCAAGGAAACACAGACATTGAAGACATTAGCCAAAATGTACATAGATGAAATTGTTTCAAGACATGGCGTAACAATATCGATTGTATCAGACCGATATCGCCGTTTTACTTCAAATTTTTGGAAAAGCTTCCAAAAGCAATTGGGTTCACAAATTAGGATGAATACGGCATATCATCCCCAAACAGATGGTCAAAGTGAAAGGACAATTCAGACATTAGAAGATATGTTACGAGCACGTGCAGTCGACTTGAAAGGTCATTAGGATAACCATTTACCTCTTATTGAGAGTTCTCTTATAACTCCAGTTACCATAACAGTATCAAAGCACCACCGTATGAAGTTCTATACGGAAGAAAATGCAGAACACCTGGATGGAGGATGGTGAGAAGCAGTTAGTCGGACCTGAATTATCCAACAAACAGCCGACAAGGTAACTCAAATAAGAGAAAGACTCAAAGTCGCACAGGATAGGTAGAAAAGCTATGCCAACAAAAGAAGGAAGCCTATTGAATTCCAAGTTGGTGACAAGGTGTTGATAAAAGTGTCCATGGAAGGGGGTCCTATGTTTTGGTAAAAAAGGGTAAGCTGAGACCACGATACGACATACCATACAAAGTAATTGAAAAGATAGGAGCCGTGACATATCAACTTGAATTACTAGAAGAACTGAGGGGGATACACAATACTTTTCATGTGTCCAATTTAAAGAAATGCCTTGCTAAATAAGAAGTGGTTCGTGTTGAAGAAATCTCAGATAATGACAAAACTATTATATGTAGAAAAGCCCATAGCCGCCACTGAACGTAAAGTTAAGAAGCTTCGTAATAAGGGGGTATCATTGGTATATGTTCAGTGGGACTGTTCACATGGATCAGAGGCAACATGGGAAGTCGAATCAGAAATAAGAATTAAGTACCCACATCTTTTTGAGTAAAATTTCGAGGACAAAATTCTTGCAAGAAGGGGAGAATTGTAACACCCTACTTTTATATTAAGCTAAATTTTTATGTTTTAAGCCTTGAATACAAGGGTTATGATTATGCAAAAGATTCCAGCAGTTGTAGCATCCTTAGATTATCATATTTATCAATTACAAGTAGCTTATGAGGCAAAGCATGAGAAATCAAACCTAAAGTGATGAATTGTAAGGGCTAGAAGTATGTGTTGGCTAGCTATTTAATGACAAAGTAAGTCTACTAAGCATGAGAAAGCAAGCTAGTTATGAGTTGTCAAAGCTAGAAGCATGTGTTGGCAAAATTCATGATGACAAGCAAGAGCTAGAAGCATGACACGATTCCTCTACATTAAGCATGATGAATCAAGATTCTCTTCCTAGAAGCATGAGGTGTCAAGATTCTCTTATCCTCAAGTAGGAGGTGTTAAACTCTCATAAGAGTGCATGCTTGAGAGCAAAAAGAACAAGTAGCTAATGCAATGACTTTACCCATAAATAGAGGTTGAAGTGTTACTATTAGCTCCATAAGAAAAATAAGAAATCTCTCTCTGTATACATAATCAAGGAATTAAGGGAAAAGCTAGGCGTAATCGAGGTGAGTACTTATGTGATTTACTGAGATACATAGATGCTATATAAATGTATTTTATGCATTATGAAGAAACTTGATAAGATGTTTTGGCGTGTTTGCCTTGCATGAAAATGTTGATGCATTTATATATTCAAGATATATGTACATGGCATGTTATGATGTGTTTTACACATAAGAGATGAAAGGTTTATGCATGTTATGTATGACCATAAATATCCAACGCACGGGATATAGAATGAAGGGACGCTTTGCAAACCGACCTTTTGGGGCAGCCTTTATGGACCCGAGGGGGTTAACAAGGCAAGTATGGCATACTTACATGTTTCAAGTGAGATCTCAAATGAATGTTTATGCATGATAAAAAGATTATTTTTGTGCATGATCAAGAATTTTAGTGAATTACTATTTAGAAAAAGTTAGGCATCATGAACATTATTTATTCATGAAACCATAACTACTCACTAAGCTTTTTGCTTATGTATTCCATGTATGCGTCTCAGGAAAGAAGGAGTAGGTACCTCATGAAGTAGTTACTATTCTAATAGAATTCTGATGTATTATAAGCTGTTGAAATAGTATTTTACGCATTTTCCACTTATGAAGTTCTCCGCTTATGTTTTAACTCTGGTTTAATATTAAGATATGAAAGAAATAAAGTTTTATTTAGTTTCTCTGATAAGACTTGTGTAAAGAATGTAACGGCACCCATTTTAGAATTTGGGGCGTCGTAGTAGTCCTCTGGATATTCGGGCTCCCGGGGGCTTCCAAATGTAACGTCTAACAGAAATGTTAGAAGACCGCCATAATATAGTTGCTCATTTCACTTTAAGTGATTGTACTTCTAATTTTAGTGAACTTCATTATTGTATTAATATAATTGACATATTCTCCTTGTTACGTAGGTGGTTTCAAGATTTCTGGTAGAATTTGCACTCAGTGCCTTCTATCTGATCCTTTAGTGGGAGAGCTAACAGTGGAAGCATCTGCAGTTCCTATTTATTCCATTGACATTCACTTGTTACGTATAGAGTCAATTATGGTTGGCGAAAAGATAGCGACAGAAACGTCTATTATTCAGACTACTCAGGCACAGAGCTTCTTCATGTTGAGAAACCTCTCATACATTACATAGTATTTGAATTTTGAAATGATTAATCTTCACCTTTTCATAGATAGCAGATGGAGATGTCTGCCGTACTATGTCTCTGCCTATTTATGTCGTACTTCCCCGACTTCTGACATGTCCAACCGTGTTTGCTGGGTAAGTTGATGATTTTAAGTGAAATTGTTCTTATTTTAGCATTGATTTCTTCAGCTTGAAGTGATTGGCTGTCTAAATTCAATGCTGTAGTTTATTAAAAGCTCCGACTTTACAGTACAATTTTGCTGCGATAAAGGGCATTTTGTTCATTCTTTAAAAGAAATAAGGCAAGGCAAATGTTACTGAGAGGCATAAGCTGTTATCGTCTCATGCAGAAATTAGAAATCCTTTAATATTGTTATATGTAGACAAGGGAGCGCCAATAAGATACTATCGCTAATGAATTTTGACTCAAATAATAAATGTGTTCTAATAGAATCATGGAACAACAGCAACATCTTTTCATTAATTTAGAGACCACATGAGAAATTTAGAACCTTGTCTCCACCAGGTTCCCTTCATGTGCTTCAGTATCTTCACTGCTGCATGCCTGCCTAGTTTTTGAAGGTATCCATGAGCTTCTTGTTTAATGTTTTTGGCATAGCAAGAGGAGAAAGAGTAGACAAATTCAGTAATAAAGGAATCTTTGGAATTAGTTGTTCGGCTCATTCTTTGTTGTCAGCTTGGTTTCTCCGTGAAGAAAATAAAAAAGATTCAAGGCTTGACTGCCGTCAATTCCTCCAGGGTCCTATTAATATTATTCTGCTAGGATCCTTGTTCCAGTTGTGTTCCTTCTATCCTGGATACATAAGTAAGCACTTGATCATAGGTGACAAATAACAATGTCATCTAATTGCGAAGCCCCACATAATTTGATTTAGCATATCTATCTGTAGTCTAAAAACAGATTTTAGGGTTTCCAGGAAGCATATGCATATAGGAAGGATAGCAATTCTGGAAATCCAAGTGTTATAAGTTAAATAGAATTAAGGCCATATGTGTAGGGCATAAAGAAGGGCTTTGAAATGATTCTTTGGCTGCTTTCTATCTTCATTCGTTTGACAATACATGATAAAAAAATATATAGAAAACTCAAATATTTGCAGTGAAGAAGTTCTTTTGCATTTCATACATATTTAGGAGTTCTCTAAGTTTTTAAATGTATACTTGGTATATCTTTGTAGCAAATGTTTCTGGTAGCATATGGCTTTTATTTGTGACCACCTAAGGATATCATGCATTACAGTGCTAACTCAAGTTTCCTGAACTTCTAGCAATTTAATTTGCCGATAATTTAAATATATCAACTAGATTTTTTAGTGGTCTTAGTTTGACAGACCTATGTAAGCGTTGGTTCTTGCAAGTGCTCCCTCCGTACCAAGATAAATGTACACGTTGAAAAAGTCACACAGTTCTAAATATCTGTAATTATTACACTTTTTAATCAACTAAATGACAATTTTACTCTTTAATAGAGGGAGTAATGAATTTCCATCTCATAATTAAGGGTAGAATTGGAAACTAGGAACCTACTTTTGAAAGTGGACACTTGCTTTGGGACAAACTAAAATAGAAACATGGACACTTGACACTTAGAAAAGCCCACATACAACAAAGACGGGACAGAGGGAGTACTCGTAGGTTATAAAACGATAAGTTTCAGCCACATTAGAATTCAAGAATTGAAGCTCCGAACAATACATGCACTTAAATTTTCTGAACAATCTCATTCCAATTGTCTCTCCCTAGGGTTTAATTTATTTTAGCCTTTTTTTTTTCAGGTAACATATTGCATTGTTTCTTTAAAATACAGGAAAGTTTTAATAAGTAGCCGGAAAAGCTTATGCTAATTTATGCATGATTATACAAGAGCTTCCTTTAACGAATTTTGGTTTATGCTGATTTACGCCATGATTATACAAGAGCTTTCTTTAATGAATTTTGGTTTATGCTAATTTACGCCATGATTATACAAGAGCTTTCTTTAATGAATTTTGGTTGATGCCTACACCCATCTGGGAATTTCGCATCTACTCATTAATCATCAATTCATTTTCCATCTCCCGGGGGGTGGCCAAAGTATATGCGTCACTCATTGTAATGTTTTGTGCAGACCATTTTCAATCGAGTTCAAAGTTACCATCCTTGTTACATTTCAAACAGAATTGTACAACGTGCAGCCAAAATCTGATCCCCGAGCTTTTAGGAAATGGGTAAGAATTAATTTATGGGTATGCATCATTTGCTACTTATTTTGAATTCTGAAATGTTTTGCTATCAAAACTCGCTCCAGGTTGCAATGGAAAGCCTTCCGTTGGAATTGGTTCAATCTAATTGAATCCATGTCCGTGCATTTGCAGCATCTCAAGCTTCATCACGAAGCACAGATTTCACCAAGGTATCATCATTATGTGCTTATTTGGTACCAGTACCTCACTCTTGAACATGGTCAATAATCGGATTATTTAAATGTTTCAGCTCTAAATCCCATATATTTCTTTTCTTGTTTCAAACTCATCATGAATATTAGTTTTAGATCTCATAACTAATGTATATGTTTTGGTTACACATTTTATTATCTAATGAGTAAATTACGTTTTTAGTCCTTGTGTCTACCCTATTGTCCAACTACTTTCTTCCTCCCACTTCTTTATCCACATCCGCATTTGAGATTGCTTCATGGCAGAGCATTCTCATGGCTGGGAGCGTCGTTTTTCTTATTTTTATATGCAAAACGGTGTCTAGACAACTCCTTAAGCAACTACACAAGAGCAGTAGGCACCAACCACCATCTTTTTTATGTTTTTCATAGAACACATAATGTTATGGTAGTGACAAGCTATGGCGATATTGAGTTATGGTTCTTGTTAAACGAAGGTGTAATGATGATGGCGTGACCTTAAGCCGTGTTAAAGAAATCATCACTTTATTTCTTTAGCTTCTAGGATTTATTCCTTCGGGTGTAAAACCACATCATAATAAATTGATCCAGTAAATCCCACTCGAAAGAAAGGTGGGGGTAGGAGTAGGAGTAGGAGTAGGAGGGTGGAGATGCATGTAGATCCAAAGAGTAGAACGATTCTAGCCAAGTTTTTGTGATCTTTTTTGCAAGCCAGCGGTCTTCTCGGGACAATCTCTCTTACCTCTTTAGCTAGAGGTATATTTGGTTTGTACATCCTACCCCTATATCTTTACGATTTACCATATATTTGGTTGATCTGGTTTGGTTTACATGGCCTATTTTTACATGAATGGTTCAAACTCTCCAATGGTTTGATTTAAAGCTATTCACGGATAGGACGACCTTTTATATCCGGCCCGTTAGCAGACTTGACAACCATTAGGCGGGTCCGGACTCGATTTGGAATTTGGTCAGGCCTATCCGGTCTGGTTATATTATTTTTTAACAAAAATGTTATTAATCAAGTTTTATGATAATATTTTTTTTAATAAAATATATAGTTGAAAATGCTGGAAAGTGGAAATGGTTAGAAATAAGTTTTATAGTTGGTATTTATTTTATTTGGACTCAGTTACTAGTTTGTTAGATTTAAACATATGTATTGATTTATTCTTTAGCTTGTTCATTAGATTCAAACAGGGTCATCCTTAACATGTTAAATGCGATATTTTGAACAGGGCCTCCGAAATTTTGGGGCCCAAACTTACATGTGCTCAAGGTTTTTTATCGACCTATGTAAAAATATAGCTGAAATTATTTATGTTCAAGCCATTAATTGTTTGGTTTTAAGTTCAAATCATTAATGGTTTATGTTTAGTTTCAGACTGTTAATCGTTTTAGGTTTACTCCATTTTTGTTTTTAATATATATTCTCTGTTATCTCATTTATGCAATATAATCAAAAGTTTAGGACGTAATAGAGCATCCAAAAAGGTTGGAACGTCACTGGATTCAAACATATGTTCTGATTTATTCTTTAGCTTGTGAAAAAGGCAGCAAAAAATCTTAAGTTGGTAGATAGAAATTGTATAGGTTTTGTTTTTGAAAAAAGGTAAAACATTTTTTAAGGACTGTCAGGCTGTAGGCAAGCCTGACCTATTTATACGGCATGTAAAGGTCTGATCAAGCCTACAAAAAATGCTTGGTTTTTCTGTATTGTCCATTGATAGAAATGATAGATTCACCCTGATTTGTGTCAAACTTAATCCCACAAATGATCACGTCTAATTCGATTGAATGTCAAATTCCAAGAAACTTTCAACTTGGGTAAGCATTTGTCCCGAGCATTGAAAAATTTGATTCGGTTCTTCTGTACAAAAATTATGAAGCTCAGCTTTTATAGTGTAAAACAACACCCTTCAAGCGTATATTTCTGAATTCAAAACCATCTTTACTAAAATGTCGCTTAAGCAACTATAGTCTCCTTGGCCTCGATTGTGTCCTTATCGCCATCCGAGAGGAAATTAAATGGGAGTTTTTCGTTCTTTGATCATATACCCTTCGGGAATGCCTTGGCTACGGTTCATTTGGTGGAAGACAAGTTTGCTCCATCCAAAATACCATCTTTTCACTTCAACAATTTTTCTATAATTTTTCTAAAATATAAAACTAAAACATAAATTTTATAATCATTTCCAAACAAATTCTCTATTTTAGAGATTTTAACATAAATTATATTATTATGATATTCTCTAATTTATCATTCCAATATACTTTCTTAGAATAAACTTTTTATAAAAAAGAATAACTCAATTTCATTGATGAAATTGAATAAAATAATCATTTCTCTCTCTCACCATTAAGTTTTAGAGAATTTTTTATATTTAAAGTTTTCTCCATGATTCTTTTTTTAAGAGAACAAGATAGCAAACTTGTTGGAGTATTTTAGAGACCAAAAACTCACTTTTTGTTAATAAAATCCGATAAACAATAAAATCATATGTTAAAATGTTGTTAATAAAATTCGATAAACAATAAAAATCATTATAATAATCTCGACTTGCAACTCACGTTTCCCTTTATTCCGCTTCGAAAGGGGTGCAAACGCTAGGTTCATTGGACCTACCTATTCGCTATGGACGCTCCATGGCTCGATCTTCAGAAGCTAATTGGCAAGGTTCGACTTGACTGGAGCGAATCGCAACTTAAGCACAACTAGAGTTCACTCACCCACGTGCCCCAACAGGCCAGCAAGCCATTCGTAGCGGCTTAGCCCCTGTTACTCTTTCGAAAGCAATGGTGGCTAGGAATGGCTTCAGTCAGGTCATTGAATCTTCAATTTTAATAAATTCTAGAATTTCAACCGATAACATTCAGATATTTGAAAAACTAGTCTATAACACAATCAACATGCATCACATTGTTATTTTAGAAGGTATTTACAGAATTAATATTATAATTCAACTTCTCTTAATTAAATAATAAACCCAAAATACTTTTAATTTTATTTATATATTAAAAATTTTAATTGAATAAGATGTCATTTCCTCTTCATTGTCATTTTCATAAATTGTTTATTCCTAATTATAAATGTAGCATCTACAAACCCTTCATTTGTATATTAAGAAAAATTCAATTTGATTAATTATGGCATTTAATTAGTATATTTATTGGGGTTGTAACTTTTTCCCAAAGTCATGTTTATTACAAGTAAAATGTCGTATCAATAATCATATGAAATAAAAATTTAATATCGTTTAGTATAATTATCAAACTTTCAGCTTTATTTTTTGACATGAAATCATGACACGATTTAGATAAGTCAAACAAAACGTGTATTATTTGAGGAGTTTAAAATCTAATGACTTTAGTACTCTTTATCCAACTTTCTTTATATGTGTTGAACAAAAATTTATATTTGTACTTGGAATATTATCAAGTAAATTAGACTTTGTTTTTGGAGTAGTAGAAAATAATGTACACCTTTATTAAAAAAATAATGTGCACATTAAGTACAAAATTCTGAAGAAAAAAAAATCGAACGACTTTAATACAAGACGTGTTATATTACTAAGTTTTAGATTAAGACTATGCCAATCAAATGACAGTATATAGGAGCTTGATTATTTGAGAACTTAAAATATGAGATATGTGATATCCATCCTAGTCTATTCATTTAATTTAATTAATTTTATTTAATAAATAAAAATAAAGGATAATTATGTAATTTGTTATATTGATGACAACTCATAAATATATATTTATTTGATATATATATATATATATATATTATTTTAAAACCGTAACTAAATCTCTCCTCCCTCACCCTTTCCTTACCATCGGCACCTCCATCAGCAACAACAATAATTCTTTCTGAGGAGGTGGTTACGTCGGCACCTCCATCAACAACAGCAAGAATTCCCTTCCATCAGCGCCTCCATCACCCTTTCCCTTCCGTCAGCAGCAACAAGAATTTTGGGGAGATGGTTACAAACTTTACTCTTCTTTGGGGAAGAAGCAACAACAGCAACAATAAAAATTTTATTCACCATCTTTCTTTCTACTCTGGATAATGTGTCATCTGGGTTCTTCTCCTCCCATGTTTTTTGGCGAACATCAACCTGCCCCTACTCCTGTTTTCTGGTGTGTGTGTGTGTGTATGTATGTATGTATGTATGTATGTATGTATGTATGTATGTATGTATGTATGGATGCATGTAGGCATGGATGCATGGATGCATGTATGCATGTATGTATGTATGTATGTATGTATGCATGTATGTATGTATGTATGCATGCATGCATGTGTGTATGTATGTATGTATGTATGTATGTATGTATGNATGCATGTATGTATGTATGTATGCATGCATGCATGTGTGTATGTATGTATGTATGTATGTATGTATGTATGTATGTATGTATGTATGTATGCATGCATGCATGCATGTGTGTGTATGTATGTGTGTGTATGTATGTGTGTGTATGTATGTGTGTGTATATGTGTATGTATGTATGTGTTATACATAGACTCTGGTCCTTGAAATTAAGTTAAACTGTGGAATCAAAAAGGTTTTGAAACTAGAGTAGGTTTTATTAGCTCAAAATCTTTTGAAGATATAGAAAGATAACATACGTGTTGAGCGATACATAGGCTCATAGTTGTATTAGTCAGATTCTAAGTCATCACGAACAAACTTGATGATGCAGAGGCTCTGTATAGTACATATAGAGGCTATGTATGTTGGAATTCTCGTTCTTCTCCTTAGATAATGCATTATGTTCTCCTCCCCCTTAAACTATGCTTAGATCAAGAAATGGTAAAATATGCTCGAGCACTAGTTCAAGGAATAGATGCTCTGTATAGTAGATACAGAGGCTCTATATGACAAAACTTAAAGATTGACAGAAATTGGACTCAGAGGCTTTGTACGATGGACTTAGAAAAATAAAATAGATATATGTTAAACTTGAGTGCAGAAGCTCTGTATTATACATACAGAGGCTCTGACTTATCATTGCAAATTGAGCATACCCAACTTACTGATTAATAAAATTGAATCTATTTTCATCAAGAGCTTTAGTAAATATGTCAGCAAGCTGAAAATCTGTAGAAACAAAGAACATCTCGATGGTACCTTTTTCCACATGGTCTTTGATGAAGTGGTAGCGGACATCAATGTGCTTGGTTTTGGAATGCTGCACA